GTTTCTTTAGAAGCTTACCCCCTCCTATCATTTTTAAAGTTGTGAAATTTGCATTCAAGTCGTTCATACTGCACATTTTCTTGCGTTTCATATAGTAGCTGTTGTATCAAAATATTGTATTATTACTGTGAAACTCAGAAAACCGTGAATACCAGAAATATTTAAGGATTATCATTGTGTAGCTAGGAAAAAGTCAATTAAGTGTGAGAAAACTAAACCGCAAACACCAGCGGTAATAGGCCACGTTCGAGATATCAATGTTCTAACATGGCTCTGAGGCTTTCAGGACAAACTTCGATGTTTGGTGGTGTTTTCCTTGTATCCAAGTCTATTTTGGGAATTGAAAGACAAAGGAAACTTAAAAAATTTGCATTTTTGACCTCAAAGCCTCGGATCGATGTTAGAATATTGATATATCGAACGTGGCCTATTGGTTGTGGTTTTGAGGTTTTCTTACCTGTCCTGAACTTTAGAGAGATTGGTTCAGTACCAAATTAACATTTAAGATTCAAATCTAGATGTTCGCGGTTTTCTGAGTTTCACAGTCATAAAAAAAGCGATTGCATAAATTTAAAATCCACTGTCCAAATTCCTGAGTCCTCACATTTCCAAATTTTATGGCGAGGCGACAATTTCCGGTCCGGGATCATTTATGGTACAATCTGGGGATCATTTCCAGTCCTGGGATCATTTGCGGTACAATTTGGGGATCATTTCCGGGTCGTGATCATTTGCGGGGCCGTACAGACCTCTGCCTCTGTCATTTTTGCAAAATCTCGTTTATCTGCCGCCCGTTCAAGGTACTCTGAAATGTGCTCTATACGTTTCTTTTCGTAGTTCCGAAAGATACATTCTGTATCCTGCATCTACACCAACTGCCATTACATCTCTCTGAATTGTTGTAAGGGTAAAGTGTTTCACTTTGTATTTTACCCTAGCACAGAAGTTTCGAAAGGAAACGGAAGGAGGGGAGGGGGTACATTTTTAAAATGAGAATTTACCTAAAAATATTTTTGGGGATTCAGTTTTAAAACGCTACGCTTTTTTGGAAACGACCGAGTCCCCTGGGACGTAATTAATAAACGATCGGTCCCCAAAGTCGTATTCGTGAACAAAATATAATATGTAGATTTAGGCCAGCCAAAAAGCGTAGCTCCTGGGCCGGGTTGTTCAGAGCCCGACTAAGCTAACCCA